AATAATAATAATAATAATAATAATAATAATAATAATCTCGTAAAACAGGGTCTTTTAGAGAAATAATATTTTAATTTTGTTTTCTGTTCTTCAATTCCATGTGAACAATCAAAACACATTTTTGCAGTCATACATTCGTTTTAAACTCCTGGGCTGGTCGTTACATTTATTTTGACCCTAAATTCAAGGCGTTGCCTGGCAATCATAAACTGAGTCACGATCCATGAAAGTAGAGCCTTAGACCATTTAGATCTGAGTCCAGATCAGATTTTCCTAATCTAGACTATGATTGGCCATTTGGTGACTTGGGCCGCTGAAATCAGACCTCATAATGACACCAGATTAAAACCACTGAATTACAGAAATATTTAGGCATCACCCTCTGGGAACCACGTTTGTTATTACAGACAGGTTTAACAAGCTATTTGATATACAGCATGTGGAGACAGTTCAGTCTGAAGCAAAGGTGTGGAGGACCCACGGCTTGATGAGTCAGACCTTTAAATGAGAGCTGGATCAGCCCAACTGGTCCCAAAAACAGTCTATAAAACCCGTGAGAGCMGACAGCTGCAGCCATACTGGTTTCAGTATTAGCTGATGTTGTTCACAGGAAGAGTTCAAAGCAGCATTTGGTTTTCTCTAGGGGGTATTCTGAGATTATTGTTATATTTTTCTGAAGCTCAAAGTCTCATGGAATGCACAAGTAAAAAATATTTATTTTTTTTTTGCCTGGATGTGCACTGCAATTCCATGTAACAAAAGGAAAAACAAATGATCTCGAACTGATCAAGATCAAATCTTGGTTGTGGTGTAAAGATGTGAGCAGACACACTATACATTATATATTATAAAAAGGTAATTCAAACTCAATAAAGTAAGGAAGGACTTTAGCACTCATTTCATGTTTTTCTGACCTGTTTTCCATTTTTTAATGCCTTTTTTGTTTATTTATCCATGCATCCCCCCTTGCACCATACACACATTAAACACATTTATTAAGCATTTTAGCACGTGGACACTGCAATGATTTTCACCCTCCACAAGAGGGATCAGAGCAATGGTCTGACACAGTAAAAAAAAAAAAAAAAGTGAGGCAAGTTTTTGTGTTCATATCTAAGACCATTATGTAAGATGTCCCATTTACTGAAGCTGATTTTTACATCTTTGTCAACATGTCTGAGTTGGATTGTCTGTGAATGTGTGCACATTTTGCGTGTGTGTGTGTTTTGGGGATGCACAGTGTAAACTGTTTAGACAAGGCAACGTGGAGTTTGGCCTTGGAATGGTCATCTCTCTTCTTTTTGATATAAACTGTGGCTCAGACTCCCCCGCAGTCACTTCCTCCTGCTGCTGCCTCGCTTTTCTCCTCCTTTCAAGTCAACATGTGGACCCCATTTTTGACTGTTTCCTTTCCTTTCCTTTCCTTTCCTTTCCTTTCCTTTCCTTTCCTTTCCTTTCCTTTCCTTTCCTTTCATCTTAATGAAGTCTAACCTTTGTGACATTTAGCTCTTAACATTGTGGCAGTTGCACATTATCAGTGTTAATAATCACTTCCTTTCGGTCACATTTTTATTTTAAAAAATCACTTCCTGCTTGTCAAAAAATTCTCCTTTGGGTGAGTGCATTGTTGCTTTTCAACGTTTATGCTTTATTTATTTATTTTTTACACTTTCACAATGCAGTGGGTGAACAAAAAAGGTTTAATTTTATTAGTTCAAATAATTAGCTTTTGACTGTGGGGAGTCTTTTTTGTTTCCATGATGGTAACCATGGAAAGTGTGCACTGACAGGACAAAAATGTGACATCCCCTTCACTCAACAAGCAGGGGATTTTCCTGYTCGGCCGCACAGACCGTCATTGGTCCATTCAGGAACAACAGGAAGTGAGGAGACGTATATCAGTCAGCTGGAGGCAAATGCTCCAACACTGTGGGACACACTGAATAGCAGAAAGTGCATACACAAAAACATTCTTTCAAAAAAAAAGCTACTTAATGATTAATTTCATTCATTCTGCACATGCCACAAACTGACCCTGATAAGTTTTAAAGTTGGAGCTAACAGTTGCATAGTTATGATAGCTTCAACAAATAATCATATTCACTTTTTTTTAGATTGCCTCTCCGTAATTTAACCACACACAGTCTGCTAATCTTGATAAGTCAGTTTACTGAGGAGAACCTCTGATGCTTTCATGATGCTTCTCTAACAAATGAATGGAGCTGTCACATAAAAAAAAAAAACATGCTAAATGTCAAGGCTGTCAAAAAATGTGCAGTCTCAAGGTCCATATATATTATTGGGTTTGTTTATCTATGACCCTGTATCCTGACTTTCTGGATGTCATGGAAACAGCAACACAAGTGGATACCAGGGAGGAACCACAGGGCAAGACTAAACACAGGGTTATCAATGCAACCATTCCTGGAACACCATTCAGCATTTTTATCACGAATAAAACACTCATAAATTTGACGTTTGTTTCTTTGTTTTTTTAGAATGCCACCACAATGACTGTTTACAGTGATACAGGCTTCAGTATAATGATACTATACGATTCTTGTTTATATTACATTTATTCCCTTAACATACTGACCAGTCGTRTCAAGTTTATTGTTTATTGTCAGTTTTCCTTTTGTGCAAGACRTGCAGAGAATTGAAATTGCATAAAATCTGTTGAGCTAGAACAAAAAATACTTTAGGCATATAATATATATGACATAAAGGTCAATTAAATAGCCTAAAAATAAAGAGTGATRGGGTGTGTTAGAGCCCAGGATTTGTGTGTGCAGGAGAGAAAAAAAAGGGAGGGGGTGGGGGGCCGGACAGGAAGAAAGGTCTTCCTCCTGACAGCCTGGTGGATGGAACTGTCTGCTCGTCCTGCCATGCAGTCTCCTTCCTGATGGGAGCAGACAGAGGAGGATGTGTGACAGGTGGGCGGAGTCACACACAATGCAGAAGGTTTTATGTGCGAGGTGGGTGTGGACGGGACTGTGCGAGTCTGGCTGCAGAAACAAAACAGGATTGGCATCATTTGTACACCTAAAACTGTTAAATAAGGTTTTATTATTTTTTCCTACAACAATATTATTAATATTAATAACAACAATAATCAATCAGACTCATAACTGAGAAAAACTCTGAACATAACTTTGGTTTGCACAGAGTTTAATGATTAAACAATGACAATTTTTTTTCTTTACATTTTTGTTTAAGCCACAATAAACACCAAATTCACCACTGAGACAAAATACAAAGCAGTCAGAATATATTTATAAAAAAAAAAATCAGAAGGCACCAGTCTGGAAAGATATTGTGGCAAAACTGAAAAAATAAAGCAAGTCACCGACGAGATGACAGTTTTGGAATCGCTTATAAAATAAATGAGTTATTGTGTTACGCTGCAAGACATYAATCTTTGTGTTACAGTAAGACAAATGTATGTATGTAGCAACACGCATGCTTTAAAGGTAAATTAACACCACTTGTTGCTTTTGCTCATCTCCAGTGGTTTTATTTCACATCTCCCCTCACTGCTGTGTGGCTCCACTGTTGGATGCAGTTACGTGTGAACGCTGCTGGATGTGTTTGGAGGTGAAACAATAGTTTCATCCAGAGGGAAGAACTGCCTTTTAGTCAGGTGTTGGGTTACTCTTCCAAGTGGTACTGCTTTAGGGTCATGAGCATGATTAGAAGTGTTATGGTGTCTCCAGATAACTCATGCATTAGAAAGAAACAACACACATGACATAAGAGTCATCAACACAATCCTACAGTACATTTGGACAACATTTAACATTTAGTTTAAAGACAACGAAGACTTTTCCCTTTGGCGATTAACTTGAATACATTTTATATACACATACTGTACACAAATACTTACAATGGTATACAAGGAGTGACATGCTGCTAAACAAAAAGTAAATGAAAAAGTACAACATTTCATTGTTTTGCTGTGATAACCTGAATCAATCCTTAGACAGAATAAAGGGTTACAGTGAATGTCAAACATTTGGGCAGAGCCCAAAAGCCATACACCAAAGTTTGTTCTGGAAAAAAGAATGTGAAAGTTAGACAGTGATTATATTTTTGAGATATCTGTTTTCTTTTTACATTGTAAAAAAAATGGAGTAGAGATTTTTAAAAAAGCACTAAAACAGACAGAACACACAGCACTGTGCAAAAGTCCCGAGACAGCTTTCGTTTATATTTTACTTCCAAGTTTCTAAATGTTCTTGGAAATTTACGTGTCTTTTAGATCAGAGGTTCTCAAGTTAGGGTCCCAGGACCCCCAGGGGTCCACAAGCTGTATTTCGGGGGTCCTAAATAAATTGTTGATTTTTTAAGTGCATATACATGGGGAACAATCAATGCACCAGTAAAACAGACATACTGAAACAAAGAAAAAAATATATGTTTTCATATTCCCATGGAATTTAGGGGTTAAACTTTTAAAACAGCATGTGGTTTATGAGTGGGTCCCTGGAAAATTTTSACCCTTATAAGGGGTCCCCAGACCCAAAACGTTTGAGACCCCCCTGTTCAAGATGATAAAATTCTGAAATTCTGTGTCAAGTCTATATTGGAACTTTAGCTTAATTTTTAAAATACATGATAATTTTTTGGTATATTTCAAATTTTTGTGGCCTGACTTTTTCTCTTATGTCCACCTCTTAGTGACACACTGCACCACATTCTGTCATGGTCGGGTTCAAGGGCTGGACTGAGAAAATAGTCAGTGTTTCAATGGAATAGTTGGATTCATGAAAGCAGTGTGAACAATATGGAGTTGGTTTAAAACTTTTTTAACAGTATTGTAGTTGAAAAAAGAAATCCACAAATTATTAGGATACCATGACCACAATGCTTCAACTATTACTAAAGAAATCAAAGATGACAAGGTAAAATGTAGTAAAATAAAATAAAACAAAATAAAATAAAATAAAATACTTCATATTTATAAAACTTCATATCATGACAAACACGAACCCTGGGCAGTTTTAACTTTGTGTGTGTCCTTAGAAAGCAGTGCAGAGTTATAAGCAAAAAAAAACAAAAAACATTTAACCTAATTTTAATCTGTCCTTCCTGATCTGTCCTTTTCATCAACCCTTTAGGACCAGTGGCTCCTTCTGAACACAGACATTTGAACTTAGATATTTCATCAGTTCTTCATGGTTTTAAGGCAGAATACAGCATCAAGCAGACATTCTTGCTGTTCCTGTTTTGTTCAGTCTATAATCCAAATATCGCTGAATACTTCATAGAAAACTGTTGGAATAAAAAAAAGGGTTTCACCATTTATCAGCTTGGTTGTTGTCCGGGTGATTATTTGGGCCCAGTTTGTGCAGAAGTCCAGCGCACACAGTGTAAGGCAGCAGTGACTTTCAATCGATCGCACAAAGTACCTTTTGTTTATGGGGACATTTCTTATGGTAGTCTGTAACTGCATTACAATCATAATGGTTGTGAGGACTTGGCAGGCGAGTGTTCAGATTTATGAGGAATAAAGTGTGTGCCGGGATGTATTTGCATACATTTTGCTTATAAAGCACTTTTTTGCTATTCTCTTATTATTTCTTTACATAACACTGTCGAGCCAGGCTTGAAATGCCTTTGTTACACACAGACTTTGTGTGTGAAAAAAGTAGCAAAATGGAACAAGAGGGGTATAAATTTGAGTTGATGCAGCACATGGTCACCTCTGTTTGGTCTGTGAGAATAAACCAGAGTTGAACCGATTAAAATAAGTGTCTCTTAAGTCGATGACCAGTGCTTGAAAAGAAGTCATGACTTTTGTGTRGATGACACAGAACAAGCAGAGTAGTTACACATTTAGCCCGACTGAAATGGAGACAGAACATGGTCATACTGGCATTACCTTCATTTCACAGATTGCTTAAATATTTCATATCATCTTTGCTTGTAAAAATAYATTTAACACAAAAAGGACAACAATATTCAAATTAAACACAAATACTATTGGCCTGTCAGAGTACTCCAAATTCAAACTCCTCTTTTTAAAAAGATGAAGTCTTCATCTTCCATCGTAGTCGCCTTCCTCTTCATTACGTTCACCATCCTCGTCATTATATCTTTTTTCTTTTTTTTTTCACAATTTTACACCACAGTCCTTGGTCGACGTCATGCTCCCAATCCCTTTTTACCATGTATCTTTTTTAAAGTTATTATCTTCAAAATGTAGCTTTATTGTACTGTTTTTCTTATACGACTGAGTGTTCATTGTTGTGGTGATGGTGCTGATGCATCCCACCAGCACCCAGCACCGTATGGTTGATGGAAGACGCAGACCGGTCCGATCCGTCTGCCGCTATCCCGTTTACGTTCTCCTGCCTCTGGCAGCACAAGATCTGCCTAAAGGTGGCGCTCATCTCCTTGTCACGGTAGGAGTAGATGATGGGATTCATGGCTGAGTTGAACTCGGCGATGAGAAGGAAGAACTTTTCGTAGGTCAGAACGTTGCAGTGGGAGCAGAAGACGTCGAGGAGTAGGATGACCAAGCCCGGAGTCCAACAGATGATGAAGGCACCTGAAGAGATGCAAAACACCATTAAGGATTGCCACTTTCACCACTAATGAATAATCAAAGTAAAAACATGTAAAGATTTAGATATTTGAACACTACATGTATTGTTTTGTTTGTTTGTTTTTTGTTTTCAATGTTCCACAGGGTTTACAAAAAAATCAAAAAGTTTCCCTGCAAGTAGTTTATATACTGTCTAAATTTCATGTATTTGATGTCAAATCATTTCGTTAGGTGCATTTGTTGTGATTTTTTCCTTAGTAAACCTCAAAAAACTAATTTCATTTTTGGTTTTTATTCATTTAAAACTGATAATACACTACTTTAATATGCAATAAATTTTAAATAACTGCCAGATATTGAACATTTTARTTGTTATTGAAAAAGGTGCAAAATTATTTACCCACAGGACAATTGTTGGCCTTTTTACAGGTAAAACAAGTCAAAAATACCAGGCAGAAATTGTGAGCGTTTTTGACCTTTAGGTGTTAAAGGGTTAACATTCTGGATCTTTTATTGTACTAACAACCTAAATTTAAAACATGATTATTTAGCTTTTACTTTTGATACACACACACACATACGTTTGTTCTGCTATCCTCATGGGGACTTTGCATTGACTTCTATTTATTTACTGATCATTCCTGTAGCCAAACACTGACCTCTTACTCTAAACTTCACCTCACAGGTGTAATGTATACACAGGTTTGAGTGCTTTTATTTTGGAAAASCTGAAGGGACTTCCGGAGGAAGTCAAGGCTGTTGGAATGGAATAAATTTACGTTGATTGGTACAAGATGTCGGAGTCATCCTGTAAAATACAAACAACACATGGTGTCAGAAGTTAAAAACAGAGGCGCACAGCGAGGATGGCACACTTCAAACCATCGCCGAGTTTAAGCCTACAAGGAAACCTCGCAGACAACTGGAAGACATGGCTTCAGTGCTAGCGGAGTGGCCAAAAAATCTGAAGTGCAATGCGCAACATTTCTGTATGTTGCAGGAGAAGAGGCCATCAAAGTGAGTAACACATTTGTCTTCACAAATGATGAGAAAGACAAAATTGCTCCAATGAAGCAAAAATCCCAAGAATATTGTGAGCCCAGAAAAAAATCAACCGCACATGTTTTTAACATGTGCACAACAAGTCCCRTCGGAAACAATAGATGTCCATGTAACAAATGTTACACATGTTTGTCCTAAACCAAAACTCTGACCCACCAATAGGCTATTTCTCCCAATGAGGACCAGGCTTTTGTCCTCATAAAGAACAGTGGGTCCTTGCCAGGCTGTGTTTTCCAGGGAAATAGTCAAAAATCATCCCCACATACACACATACACATATAAACTGGCATCAATTACCAACCACAATAGCAATAACCTACAAAACAAAGAATGTATGGCACTCTCTGACCATATCTAGAGCATTACAGACAAGAGGTGATTTTATGAGGTTTTGAATTCCTTGTAAAGTACATTAGTGGTTMTGTATAAAGCTTCACAAATGGGAAAGACCACTGAAAGGTTTCCCTGTAACGGAAAAAACACAAACATTTATGTTTGTGCATAAGACTATGACTACTTTAATTATGAGCAAAGTCTATTTTTTCTATAGCAAAAAAAATAAATAAATAAAATATTTTTGATATTGTAAAATAAAAAGGTTCATTTAAATAATTGGTTTTCAAAAGATTTGAAACAAAAAAAGAAAGTAAAAATATAATGATAAAATCAACACCAAAACAAACTGGTGTAATGAGGTCATCAATCAAAAGACCTGCAGCAGCATTCTGGACTAACTGCAGGAGATGAGAAGACTGTTCAGGGCCAAACAATAGGGAAGCTCAATCTACTACTGATGACAGGACAAGATGTTGCCCTAATGGACAAAACTGATCAAAACTGCTCTTCACAACTGTGAATACTTGCTTGTCAAATTTAAAAGAACTGTCTAGAAACGTTTCAAAAATTCCTCAATTAGAAATTGTGCAAGCAGGGTTGAGACAGTGAAWCAGAAATGACAAGCAGGCCTGTTATCTGTTCATGTTTCTGCCAGCAGCAGCTGCAGCAAAAGACTTGACTTCAATTCCCAGCTATGCTAGCAGACCCTCCAGATTTTCTAGAGTTGGATAGATTTCTTTAATTGTCCCCAACCAGGCAKAGAGACTATCTGAACTATTTGTATCTCAAAGTAACTTTTTTAAAAGCTTGAACAGAACTGGGATTAGAWTATGTTTAAAAAAAGAGAAAGGGAGAAACAAGTTTCCCATTTGTTTCTATTTTGCTCAGGATTTTTTATTTTTTATTTTTGTGGAATTTAAAGGAAAAAGTCTATTTTGCCTCGTCACTGCTTGAAAATGCCACAAGCAGGAGAAAAAAATAAAGAAAAGAGCCAGAGAAGTGGAAATTCACTGGCGAAAAGCAAATAAACACAGCTCTGATGCAGGCTTGGAAAGTTTGGAAATGAAAAAGGTTGAAAAAGGTTTCCTGAAAAACAGCTGTTTTTAAGCTGCTCTAAACAGGACTGTTTGATTCAGTGGCTATTTTATCATTTATTCTGGAGTCTAATTTTRAAACAAAAATGTTTAAAAAACAGAATAGCTGCTGCTATTGCTTTTAATAATACAATGACATAATTAATAATAATGAAATGTCCAATACATGTCTGCCAGTATTTGGATGTTCCATATAATATTTATTCAGATAAATCAAACCTCTTCTTCATCATGTCCAAACAGTTGTATTTTTTTAAAGAATATTATTTCACAAGTTTAACGAAGAGTATTTGTTTGACAGTCTCAATAAACTATTTGGCATAAGGGGGGGTCAGGATAAAATGTGTGTTTCAGTATCTCAATCCAAACTACGGTAAGACTGTTTGCCATTCTTAACCTTCATCCCCTTCTTTTCCTGGTGGAAGTGGGCTTTCTTCAGACAGAGAAAAGAGGGCTGTGGGAACACTAATATGGAATTAATGGAGACCAGACCGAGGCACTGAACCCTGCAGCCCTGCAAACGTACACTCACGCACAGACACACATACACGCACACGCAGACAGAACATTAGGCAGACACATGTCCAGATGCAAACACACAGACACTCACACGGCTGCACACGGCACAAAGACAGATGGGAAAACATTTGGAGGATGTTGAGAAATCACATCATTTTTGATCCCATCGGAGATTTCTTTACTTCACCGTTTACACTGCTGTCTCCTGTTCAKTGTCGTCATTTTGCAAAAATAATATGACTAAAGCCAAGTGGTGCAAGAATGGACTTTGTTGCACTCAGCTTGTGAAAGCAAAAAAAAAAAAAAAAAAAAAGAAGGGAGATCAACTCCATCCTACAGAGCCATGCTTTATGTCATCTGTAACAACTTCAAATATCGACGCTGCACGTCTTGTGTAACACAGTCCTATCTGCTGTCAGTCTAAAAGCCCTGCAGCCTAATTGTCAGAACCAGGCACYGACTTCTTGGTCAATAATTGGACAGTAATAGTGGTCATGGTTTCAGACACCATTCAGGACAGGTAATGGAAGATGGCACTTTATTTTCCATAATCCATCATTTTGTCTTGTGACACTTCCAAGAAGTGATTTGTCAAAATGGCGTTACAGCTGTCATGACATGTTGGTGATAACTTTAAAGCTTAAAATATTTTAAAAAGAATGAAAAGTGAAGCTTGATTGCTATAATCACAACCAAGAAAGTAAATCTGTCTAGTAAAATAAATAAAAATAAACCTACACCATTGTTTTGGAATACACTATGATTGACTTACAATGTTTTGTTGTTGTTGTTTTTTAGAATCTTTATTGTTGACTGAGCAGATGACATAATCTTGACTGTAAATAAAAAAAATGTACTTCCTGTTTTGTTAGTTGTAAAATGAAGAACTTAGGTTAGGTTAAGACAGCATAATTTACCCACCTAGTTAGGGGTGTGAGACAAAAAAAAAATCTATTTCATCTCTGCAAATACTCTTTTTCAGCAACTATATTCCAACAACTCATCTGGACAGAAAATGTCACCATAAGCTAAATAAGTTCTGGTCATGTATCTTTTTTCTCACAAATATAAATGGTCTGATATACAATATTTTGTTTTTCTCCTAAGGGATGAATACAGCATCTTTCTCTATAATTTTTCAAAACTAGAGAAGTCCATTTTCAGTCAGATGGAGATTAAATATCGTCGATCTTTAATTCAAGTTGCCACAAGCTGTGCTATCGCCTCTCCTGTGTGTGAGTGCTTCATTGATTAGGCACTTAGACAAAGTGCTTCTCAGTGTCATATGGCACAGGAAACATGTTATCTTTAAACATGTCTGATTCTTCAGTGTAGGAAGTCCTTTGTTTGCTTTGCAACATACTAAGATTCTTATAAAAGACCTTTCACTTTGGAAGAAAGCCCCCATGGTGAAACAAGTGCTTGTGAAGTGGATGTTCACAATGGCCTTTTAAGTTTTTGATCAAAGCTTTTTTTTCCTCCCCAGCTGTAAGACTTTATACTCCACGTTGATGCATTTCTTAGACAATAATATGCTTTTCTCATTTGAGAGGTACTCATTTCACTATTACGGATGTTTATGCATTACTATGTAATCTGGCTGGCTTAGATTTCAGCTAATGTGAATCCTCCCAGCCTCCTAAAAACGAATAAAGACCCAGAATTACATTACTGCACTCGTATGGCTTCTTTCTTTCCATTAATTTGTTTTTCTTTGTCCCCCCCCACATCTGGTTTCCTGTCTAACCGCCATCCCCCCCCACCTGTATTTCTTATCTCCTATTTCCCCTCCTTTGCACATTGTCCTTTAATTTTTTTTTATTTCTCATCAAATATTCTCATTTTCTATGCGAGCAGTTCTCCGCGGTTGTGACCATGATGCACGTGTGCATCTCAAAACTGCTGTGTCTTCTTGTTTGTTCACAGAAAAGTCCTTCCCCTCCAGCACCGCGTCTCCTCATTCCCACATCAGTGCTTCCACACGCACTGAAG